GATGTAGAGGTGAGGGCTCCAACTGCGGTGTCAGAGGCCTGGATGTAGACCCCTGGTCTAACACACCTTTCAGCTGTGTGATTGTGGCAAGTCATTTAAGCTCTCTGGGCCTGTCTCCCCATCTGTAACACCTGGAGGTACAGATGGTCCTGTGTCCAGGGTGTAGTGCAGACTTAGTAAGGCCAGGGTGGGCCTGGCCTGGATCAGTGTCATTTAAGTGCTAATGTAATTGTACAGATGTGCACACAGTATGTCCACACGGGCTCGGGACATGGACACGCATGCCACGGACATGCAGACACACACCTGTGCTCACACGTGGACACCTGCCCTCTGTCCCTCCCGCCCTCCCTCTCTCCTGGCTCCTCACCTGGAGTGGGTCGCATGGACGGCCTTGGAGCGCTGGTCACTGGCTTCACCAGGGCCACGGCCTCCCTGGGCACCTGCCCCGCCCCAAAGAGAGTGCTCAGGGGGCGCAGGGCCGGGGAGGAAGCAGCAGCAGGGCCATGCCTTTTAGGGGCAGCTGGCTTCCGAGGCTCCCTGGAGGCCCCCGTTTTCATCCTGCCTGGGCACGGCCAGCCCCTGCCCTCACCTGCGTGCCAGGTGCTGCCGCCAGGTGGCTCATCTGGCCCTTCAGGATCATCAGGGCCTCCTCGTGGGGGTCTGGCCGCTTCACGAACACCCTCCCGCAGTCCTTCCTGGGGGGGTGGACACCGAGTTCCTCTCCCCATCACAAGCCCCGAGAGGAAGGACCCTCTCCACCAACCCATCATTGTCAATGAGAACCCACAGGTTCTCACAGCGCAGCCTAGAAAGCAGCCTGGGCCGCCCTCTGCCCGGGAGGGGGTCCTGGGGAGCATCTGCATAAACAGGCTCCTCCCGTCACATGGCTGGCACCGTGGCTGGCACCGGGCCCAGGGAGGAGGCAGCTGCCTGCAGGCCGGGGCAGAGCTGACCTGAGGGCCTGGGGCTGGCCCCCCTGGGGCGGCTGCTGGTACTGCCTGACGATGTTCTTGATCTGCTGCGTGGGCTGCGGGAAGTGCTCCGAGTTGAGTGTGGAGTACCGGACCAGCTCGGGGCAGGGCAAAGCTGTGGGCCAGGGGGCGGAGTGAGACCACACCTCCCAGTCCAGCCTGGGAGGCCGCCCCCACCAGCCCAGCAGGGACAGGACACTCACTGGTTTCTGGAGAAGACCGATCCTGAGCCAGAATGGGGGCGGCCACAGGCTTGAGGGGCGGCCTGGGGGCCTTGGCCGGAGGGGCGGGGGCCACGGGCTTCGGAGTGGGGCGCAGCAGCACAGCTTGACCGGGGGTCTCGTGCCCGCGAGCTTTGGCCGTGCCTCGGGGGGCTTGGGGCTTCTGCAGAGAGCAGGTGTGAGGTGAGCTTCCCCGGACACACCAGCTTGCTCTCTGGGCCCCCGTGTCTGCCAGGACGGGGTGGGGTCCAGGCTCCGCGAGGTGCGGCGATGCCCTGGGCAGGCCAGGCTCACCTCGGGGGGGAAGGGCCTTGGGGCAGGACTCAGGGGCTGCTGCTGGAGGGCCATGGCCTGCAGGGTCATCTCTCTGGCCTGAGGAGAGGTGGGGGTGTAACCAGGCAGGCCCGCTCCAGGCACCCCCCTCCCAGGCCCCTCGCACGCACCAGCAGCACGGCCTGTTTGTGGATGAAAGCTTGCTGCAGGGCCAATGTGGAGGCGTCCAGGCCTGGGACTTCAGGGAGCCGGGCAGAGGGCGCAGATCCCAAGGCGTAGGAGTGAGGGAAACGGGAATTTCCTACCACCTGCCCCCTTGCCTCCCCTCCACCCTGCCCGTGGCCGCCTCCATGTTAGCACGGGAGGGAGCCCGGAGGACCAGCGGACCCAGCCTCGCCCAACCCTAGAACCAACCCCGGGCAGGCACTGACTTGGCTTTGGCTCTGGGGGTCTCTTGGGAGTGTCTTCAGTGCTGCTGCCGCCGCCGCCACCAGGCTGGCCTCCCCCCTTCATGCGATAGGCAATGGCTGTCGGCTTCTCCAGGTCCTGGGGGCGGCAGCTGGCTCGAGTGGCTGCCTCCCTGCTGGCCTCCCCCGGTTCCAAGGCAACGGGCACCTGACACCAGCCTCCGCCTCCGTCCCAGGGGCCTCCCACTGGCCAAGCGCCTGCTGTGTGCCCAGCCTCTGCCCTCACGCACACACTCAGTCCTCCCACCACCTTGCAAGCTCCCAAGTGACCACCCCTTTCACGGAGGAGTAAAATGAGGCTCAAAGAGGGGCTACGCCCTGCTCAGGGCTACACATCATGCCCCGAGGGGCTCCTGGGAGTTCTCAGCGTGAGCAGGGTGCCTGAGGGGGCTGGATCCCACAGGACACGGGAGGTCTGAGCCTCTCTCCAGGGGGTCTCCAGCCGAGAGGACACCCTCCTCCTTCGCTGGGTCCCCATGACACCCCATGGCCCGCTGTGTCCCCCGTGGATGTGTATGACTTGGTATGTGCACGCCATGCCTGCTGCCTGCAAACACCCCAGCCATCCCTACCGCATCCCCGCAGGACAGCACGGGGTCGAAGAGGCTGTCCAGGTAGCAGTCCAGGCCCTTGTGGGACACAGCAGGCTCTCCAGGGCTGTCCAGGCCTGGCAGGGGGGACACATCACGTTTTCTCCTGCTGATGCCCCCCCCCCCCAGCCCCAGGGCCTTCCCCACCAGAGACAGCGGCCCTGCTGGCCGACCTGGGTGGGTTGTTGTACCTCTCTGGGCCTCAGTCTCCCCATCTGTGCTGTCCTCATGGGGGCTGCAGTACCCGTTGGCGTCAGCCACATTGGGCATGTGCCCCCGTGGTTGGGGCCTAGTGGGCGTGTCCTCATCTGAGTCCCAGCTGTTCCCAAACACCCTGTGGGTAAGGGGAACATGGAGCATCTGATCCCAGAGAGACCCACGGCCTCCCAGGCCACCCCCACCCCCACCCCCTTCCACCCAATCTCCTCTGCACAGGACTCTGGAATTGAGTGACTGTCTCTTTAAAGGCGGGACCCTTTGGTCAGCCCCACCTCCATGAGAACCTCGAAGCTTAAGTCCAGACCTCAGTCTCTCTCAGCAGCCAGAGGGGCAGTCCTGTGCTGAGAGGCCACCTGTGGGGGCCCAGGTAGCCACCTACGCTCTCGGGCCTCCTCTGCCGGCCACGGGCCCTTCTGCACCCACAATGAAGTAGGACTTCTGCCGTGGGAAGTCCCTGAGCAGCTCCAGGTCTGACACCAGGTCCAGCACGTAGTCGTGGCCGGCCAGCTCCGCCCACTGGGCCCCGTTCTTCATGGCCACCGTCCAGCCCCGCCAGCCGTCCACCAGCCCCCTGGGGACAGCGTACGAAGGGACATGAAGGAGGGACGAAGCCAAGAGGTACCACTTGGGGAGACTCCGGGATAGGAGCGGACCCCAGCATGCCCAGGGGGGACCCCGGGGGGTTGGAGAATCTGGCCTCCTGCCCCTCCCTCCCCTCTTCCCAGGTGCACTGGTGAGCTGGGCAGGGCGTGCAGGAGCCGACCTGTGCCTCAGGATGTCCCCGGCCAGCTCCTCCCCCGTGCTCCAGGAGTGTACCGGGCAGGAGAACTGGTCGCCTGGACAAGAGCAGGCGCAGCTCAGCCTGGGAGGTCGGCAGCTGGCCCCGCTCTGCTGCTTCCTGCCTGCTGCCTGCGCTCAGGCCTCTCACTCTTGCCCAGGGTCCTGGGTCTGCATCTTCTGCCCCGGCTCCTCTCCCACATTCCAGGTCCACCCCCCATGCACACCAAGCCCTCCTTCCAGGGCCACGCCCAGCAGGCACCCCTCCCCGGCTTCTCCTGGCCCAGGGCAGAGGCCTGAAGGAGGGCAGGCAGCGGGGCGGGGCGGGCAGCTCACCGTTGAAGCAGCCCACATCCAAAGCCATGCTGGCCTTCTCCTGTGCTGCTGTCCACTCGAGCCGGGTCGGAGGGAAGGTGCGGGCAGCCCCAGGGCCCTGCTGCTGGGCCCGGCCCATGGCCTGCATGAGGCGATGCTGACACACGGCCTGGAAGCCATTCCGCCCGTAATCAGACACAAACCTGGCGGGTGGGGGTGAGAGCCAGGATGAGGGGAGCTGAGGCTGGCCCCAGTTGGGGAAGATTCCGCAGCCAGTTTAAGGGAGGCCCAGGCTAGCCAGAGCTTTAAGGTGAGAATGAGAAGGCCAGGCTACCCCAGAGCTCCCAGGCTAGGCTGAAAAAGAAGGGTACCAGGCTAGCCCCAAAGTATTTCAAACCAGCAGAGTTATACGGCCGAAGAGGTCCCAGGTCGGCCCACCTAAGCTGTCAGAGTGACATGTCACTGACAGGGCGGGGTCTGCAGCACTCTGTGGGCAGGAAAGGGACTACGAGGGGCGCTCCCCCACTTCCACCTGGACCCCAGCTGCACCCGCCCTGAGCCTGCTGCCAGGTTCTCACCCATCCTGAGACGGCTGTGAGGTTTCAACCTGGCCCAGGACCCCCGAGCTGACTCCTGCCGGCCGCAGGCATTCCGCATGCCTGGCTCCACTCCCAACCGCTGGGGTGCCTGGCCAGGAGCCGCGGTGGAGCGGGTCCATAGTGGCCACAAGAAAGAACCTAGAGCTGTGCCCACAGGAAGCCCTGGACAGGCAGTGGCCCTGTCCCATTGCCACACGGCTGAGCAGTGAGCCGCCCCCCCTGCACGTGGCCTGTGCACCTCTGTACTCTGAGCTCACAGCCACTCGGAAGGCGGGTCCGGTTACCACCCCTAACTTATAGGTGAGGGAAGAGGTTCAGAGAGGAGCCATGACTTATCCCGGGTCCTACAGCAGGCGAGTGTCACAACTACTAGTAGACTTTGCACCCAGGGCCTGCCTGAGCGCCTTTCCCTGCCCGTCATCCTGACCCCCCGGTGGGTGACACTGGCCCTCCTCCCCCGGGGCTGACGGGTGTCCTCACACAGCACTCGCCGCGCTCCTGTCCTAAGCATTCATCCCACATGTCCTCTCAGATCCTGTGGAGCCCTATTCTCATCCTCATCTTACACGGAGACACTGAGCTCAGCGAGGTAAAGCCACTTGCCCAGTCACACAGCTGATACGGCTGAGCTGGGCTTGAACACAGACCGTCAGAGTCTGTACTTCCAACCACCGCCCCGCATCCCGATGATGTGAGAGGTCCACGCCTCCATTCCAATTCTCCACACCCTGGTCTTGCACCCACCGTGCCCTGCAAGTCCTTTTCCAATCTCACGTGACTCCTACGCTGCACAGTAAGTCCAGCTTCCACGCAGAGACCTCACCCCTGGCCTGACCTTTAGCATCGCACCCCGGCCCGGTGCCAGCGTCCCTGTCCCCTCCTAGCCCCACCCCGATCCACTCACTTGAGCAGGTACTTGTTGAGGCGCGAGGAAGGTGCAAAGCCGCTGAGGCAGGCAGCCAGCAAGAGCCAGCCCCGCTCGGCGTTGTGGGTCCTGGGGTTGCGCCACACCTGGTTGGCCAGTTGTGCCAGGATCTCATCCCGGAGTTCGGGCACTGCCAGCCCTTTCTGCACAATGTAGTTCCCGAAGACGTGCTCCTGGGCACCGTGCAGGTGGGGGTCACCCATGAAGCGCAGGACCTGGGCCACAGACAGACTCCTGGGCCTCGGAACATTGCTCCTGCCGGGTTCCCACCCCCATGCATCCCTCACACGTCCTTCCCGTGCCCCTGTCCACATAAAAGTCCCCCATCACAATATAATAGCTCTATCCTACACCAAATGACCAGGCAGTTCACTCCAGCCCTGGGAAAAAGTCAGGATCCAACATCCATGCTGGCTTTCTCTCCTGCTCAGGAACCTTCTATAGCTCCCATCCCCGCCCAGCACCCCTGGCCTCCAACCCCATTCAGACTCCAGGGGCCATATATCCAGCCACATCCCCTCCATGGAGGCGCACTCCTCGCTCCATCGCCTTGGGATAAATCTGAGCTCCAGACCCCTCTTGCCTTTGCTCTCTGGATGGATTCTCTGTTCTAACCACATGGATTTCCTCTCCTCTATGTGCCTCCTCCACAGCCGGGGCTGGGAGAGTCTGACTCCTCCTCTAGCTCAATGCCCCTCCTCCAGCAAGCTCTCAGCCTGAGCCAGGACGGGAGTAGGGGCGCTGCCTGGCCTGCCAGCCGCCCTGCCTCCCTGTGCACACTGGCGGTCACTAGCCAGGTGTGCCGTGCCTCCTCTCTCAGCCTAGGGAGCCCTTGAGGAGAGAACCCGGATCTGTTCGCGTTGTCCCTGGGAACGTCCTGTTACCGGGACGATGGCTGGGAGGAGAAAGCCCAGTCCCCAGAGCTCCATCAGAGAGGTGGCCAGACCCCTGACAGAAACCTCCTCCAAGGAAGAGGCGTGGCTCGGGGCTTTGGCTCATGGATGGGTCCGGAGGATGAGAGCCCCCTGGCCGGCCTCAAGCGCAGGAGCCACGGATTCCAAGGCGGCCCGGGCAGGCCCGTACCAGCTTGAAGATGCTCACGGCTTCCGCGTGGTGCTCTACTGGCAGCCCAGTGAGGGGCATCCTCAGGGGCACCGTCAGCATCCCGAAGGCAGGCTCCTGGGGGCACAGCAGACACATGGGCACAGAGCCAGCACATCTGGGTCCATTGCTCTGCGCCAGCTGAGAGCACAAATGCCCCTGCCCCCAGTGTGTAGAGGGGAGACTGAGGCTTGGAGGGGGCAGACACCAGCCCTCAGTGAGTCGGTGGTAGAGACAGTCTCAGCCCCATCTAGGCCCTTTCTGAGGGACAGAAAGTTAAAGCAGGGATGGCGAGCTGTGGCTCCACTGACTGTTACATTTCTGACATCTTTCCAGACTGGCTGGCAAATGGCTGCTCCCCGAGCCCCTGGGGCCTCCCCTCCAGGCCCCCGTGGGCTCCAGGCTGCTCCTGACCCAGCAGCTGTAGGGGGAGCTCATACCCGACCCTCAGGGCCCGGACAGGAACCGCCCCGAGCTGTGGACAGCATCAATTCTAATTGATCTGTGCCCATTGGCTGGGCTGCTTGGGCCCCTGCCAGCCCTTACCTTGAAGTGGCACCGGACAAACTTGGCCATGGGGTAGTTGTTGATATCCAGGGGCAGTGTGACACGGGGCTCGGCCTGGAGCCGGGGAGTCCGGACAGGGGCCACCCGGGGCATCTGGGCTGGCCTAAGGCCTGTGGAGAGAAGAAGGCACGAGGTGCCTGGCTCCCTTGCCCACCTGTGCCCACTCCCACCACACGTGCAGCACTGGTGTACCTGCCACTGCTCGCAAGAGCCCAGCCAGCTCTGCTGGCACCTCCAGGTGTCCCACAGCTACCACCTCCCGCTTGCTCAGCTCCTGGAGGGACAGCGTGGTGAGGGGAGGGCCTGCCACACCCCCACCTGCCGTCCTCCCCTCCTGTCCCCTCTGCCACCCAGACCCCGCACCCACCTCCTGCTCCCGTAGCCGCACCTCCTCCACCCGGAGCCTCCGCTCTGCCCTCAGCTGCAGGAGAGCAGGTGGTCAGGGCAGGGAATGGCGGGCAGAGGCCCTGGCAGGCCGAGCCAGCTCACACAGGGCGGCCAGCAGGGAAGCAAGGGGTCAGCTTGCCTGATTTCTGGAGGCGACTGCACCTCACAGATGGAGGGAGGCAGAGGGGTGGCCAGAGAAACAGGAGGGCAAGGAAGAAAGAGAGAGCAAGAAAGAGACAAGGCAAAGGGCAGAGGAGGAATCCTGGGAAAGGCAGACGGCTCGTCACCCACAGAACCTTCAGGAACAGCCGTGCAGTTCTTCGGTGCTCGGCGTTACATTTGTCTGGTGTTGGTTTATGTGACAACAGGCCAAGGTTGGCATCAAGGTACGAGCAAACCGTATTCAGTGCTGGTCCAGGTGCACAATCTAATCGGACCCAATTACTGAAGACCCACAGTGAGCCCACACCAGGAAACCTCAGTGCAATATTCATTTCACCCTCTGCAGCCTCAGGGGAAGACGGGAGGTCAGGCTGGAGTGGGGCCGAGATCACACAGCTAGCGAGTGGCAGAGCGGGGATTCGAACCCAAGACAGTCTCCTCCTGGGAGCTAAGTGCCCCCTCCCCATCTCTGCCACTCCCTGGACCCAGACAGGACAGGCCTGGCTCCGGGAGAAGGGCCAGGGGAAGGCCTGCACCTTGAGGTGGCGCCGGTGGCTCACGTATGTGTTCACTAAGGACCGGAACTTCACCAGACTCTTTCTCATCTGCTGATACCGCTGCCTGCGGGTAGGGAGGAAAGGAGTGTCGCGGCGGTGGTGGTGGGGGGGTCATGGATAAACAAGGGGCAGAGATACCTGTGCCAGCCTGGCCTTGGTGCCACACTTCACTCTGGGGCCCTTTGGCACCAAGCAAAGGAGCTCGATGGGGGGCAAGAACTGGCTAAGGTCCGAGCCCGGATTCAACCACTCGGACCACATAGATCCCATTAGGTTGGAATCCCAGGGCCCCTGAGATGCAGGGTGGGGTCCTTCTTGGCTGGATGGATGCCCACCCACCAGTTACAAGGGCCAGAGGGTGGGACGGAAGGGCATCCAAAAGCAGAAACAGAGAATCTGATCATCCTTCCAGCAGAGGCTCCCACTCTCAGCTTGCATGCCTCCAGGAACAGGGAGCTGACCACCTCAGTTCAGGCTTAGCCTCTCCCAAGCCTTGCCCAGGGCTCCCTAGTCCTGCCCTAGTGGCTGCACCTGGCCAGGTAGCCTCGGGCTCGGCTTTGCAGCAGGATGATCTTGCAGCGTAAGGAGCGGAAACGGCGCTGGATGAAGAAGCCACGGAGGCAGCGCTGCAGGGTGAGGGCTGCCAGGTTCCGGACGTGCTCCCGCATGCTCTCCAAGAGCTGGTGGAGGTGCTCCTTAAGGAAGAGCTGGGCAGAGGAGGCAGGTGCTGAGCCGGTCAGGGCAGTGACTGGACTCAGGCCCTCCCTCTCCGGAAGTCCACGGAGACAGAACAGCCAGGGCAGGGGAGGGGTTGGGTTTGGAGAGATGGAAGCAAGCTGAGGGCGCATTAGGCAGCGGGAGCGGCCTGAGCAAGGTCCGGAGTGGGGTTGGCATTCCGTTCACCAAGCTCCACTGGACTGCCTTGGGGACAGTCCTGAGCCCACGGGCTCGGTTCTGAAGCCCCTGAACCTGAGCCCTCCAGGGACTGCGTGTGGGTGGGACTCACCTTGCTGACGCCAACGCGGTACATGTTTGGCATGACTGTGCACAGGCGGCTCAGCACGGACACACACATGTCCCCACTGGCTGGCAGGTTGTGCTCAAGGGCCACTAGACAGCGGTACCTGCAGGGCCCAAATTGCGCCTGGGGCTGTGGGACCTGCTGCCCCAGCTGCCCGCCAGGCTGCCAGTCACCATCCCCACCGTCTCCAGGAGGCCCCCCCGCCCCCGCAGGGGCTCCACTCAGTGTCTTCTCGTCAGAGGGCACTCCCTCCCTACTTCTAGGTGCCAGGACATGTGGAAAGGGATTCAGCAGAACAAGACCCCTTACTGCCATCTGCTGGAAGCTTGTCCTAATCACGATTAAAAATGTTTCTCTTTGGAATCAACACATTAAAACTGTGAAAAACTGCAAAACGACCAAGACATATGCCAGACAACAGCTGGCACGTGGTCTGTGCACAACCCGAGCAGCTGTGCATGGCAAGCCCTGCTCTGCCCGGGCCTGTGGAGCGAAGGCGGGTGACTGGCTACCTGTCGATGAACGCCTGGAAAGGCAGCCGCACCGGGAAGCCCTCCTTGCGGATCCGCACGGTCTCCAGCAGCCCGGAGTAGCGCAGCTGCGCCATGACCACATCTGCCTCAAAGAGGCCTGGCTCCTGTGGGGAGGACCCGCCGTGTGCAAAGGGCACTGGCAACGCCAAGTCGCCGTGCTGGGCGGGCCCGCGTGAGCACGGGGAGAGGGCTCTCTCCGAGGACCTCGGCCATCACGCACCTTCTTGTGATTGGGCTTCAGGCAGCGCACGAACAAGGGGTTACACCTGGTCAAGGGCAGGGGAGGCAGCGTGAGGCCCCAGGGAAGGAGGTGCTTATCCCGGAGGGTGGAGGGTCGCAGGGTCGCCGGGGAGGCTAGGTCCCGCCCACCGGCCACACCCACCTCTCCATCTTTTCGATCAGATCCAGGAGCGACTGTTGGAACTTGGCTGCCACGGTGTGGGCCTTGTGGAGGCGGGTGATGGAGCTGCTCTTGCCCAGGCGTTGAGGGGCAGCCTGGGGGGCATGGCTGGAGAAGAGGCGGGCCACCACCTGGGCAGGCATGGTCAGAGCACCAAGAGGGAGAGGTAGGAACCAAGAGACAGACAAGGAGAGAAACGAAGAGGGAGAGAGAAAGCGAGAGAACAAAAGGAGTCAAGTCTCCAGACCAAGAAGCACCAGAGAACTAACCCAAGGGACCGGCCCCGGGGTCAGCTGACTTCTTTTTCTGGGGGACACATGGGCACTAACTGGGCGCATGGTCGTGAACCCTAGGATGACCGCAGGAGGGGGTGCCCATTTGACAGATGAGGAAATGGAGTCCCAGAGCGGGGAGGTGGCAGAGAATAGGACGGGAGAACCACTCATCAAGCAGATGGAGGTGGGGATGGGCCCAGGCTGGGCGGGCTGACCCGGGCTGACCAGGAAGAGGCAGGGGAGAGACCTGGGGGCCAGCCAGGGGCGTAGCCCTTTACGGGGCGGGGCCAGGAACGGAGAAAGCACAGGGCAAGGCAAGGCTGGGTGGGTGTGGGGTTAGGGTTGGGATGGAGCTACGGTACCTCCCCTTTCTTGGCGGACAATGGCCTGGCTGTGGGCTGGGTGCTCTGGGGCAGGGCCAGGACCGGGGAGGGGAGGCTTGCTCACCCGTGTCCGGCTCCGAACAAATAGGTCCAGCACGTCCTTACGCACCTGGTCATGGTTCTTGTCCAGGAACTTGTGCACCTGGGAAGGGGGATGGCCGGGCAGCGGGGGCTGAGCCCTTCCCCCATGCAGCCTGGGTGCGTCAGCCGCCTACTACCATCTTCTTCCTTCCTCGCGGCAGCCCTCGGGTGACACTGGCCCTGCACCTCCAGCCCACTGTCTCCCTGTCTGTCCTGGAAGGGACTGGACCCCTCCCCCTGCTATGGTCCCCCCCTCCTGTCCCCGACCCTCCCCACTCCCAGGACTGGCCCCCTTTGCATGACTAGCCCCGGTCTAGCCCCATCCTCAGTGGAGGACGCTGTCCTGTGCGCGTCCTGCAGATGAGGGAAATGCGGCCCAGATGGGGACAGAGGCTTAGAATCTTGGCCCAAGACAATACCGGGGCAGGAATGTGCCCGAGATAAGAGCAATGAGCGTTACCCCGGTGATCTGCTACTGATAATAGCTCCTCTTCATCAAACCCACCTGAGCCCCAGGCCTCTCACACCCATGAGATGGACACTGTTACTATCCCCATTTTCCAGGTGAGGAAACTGAGGCTCCGAGAGGTACCTCCAGGTGATTGGCCCAAGATTACACAGCCGAGGGTCAGCAGGGCCAGAACTGGAATCGGGTGGGAGTGTCTGGAGCCCATGTGCTTCTGTGCCTCCAACATCAGGGCTCTGTGGCGCTGGAGGCCAGGAGGGCTGCCTGGGGTCTCACCTGGTAGGTGACTTTGCCTGCGTAGTGCTTGATGGTGAACTCGGGCAATGGCATCTTGGGTTTGGAGTAGAGCGGGTTGGCGCCATGGTGGTAATGGCACTTTTGCAGAAATGTGTGGTCTGTGGCCTGGGGGCAGGCAGGGTTCAGTGGGTGGGCAGGGGGCCTGGCACCCTGTTCCTGGCCTAGTGGCAGATTCTCCAGCCCTGACTGATCTGCAGTGATCACTGGGGAGGAGGAACAAGTCACAGCTTCCTCCTGGCTGCCCACTGCCCTGGGCGGGAGGCCGGAGGGGATCTCTGCAGACAAGTGTCTGGTTAGCTCCCAGCTGCCTCCCCTCCAGCCCAGCTGACTTTGCACTCTCTTGTCCCACTGCCCAGAACACCCATCTCACCCTTGTGTTTTCCAGTCAGTATTTGAGGCCCAACCCCAAGGTCACCTCCTCCATGAAGCCTTCTATGATTCCCATGGCTGGTGTAGCCCCTCGAGTGGACACCTGCAGCCCCCTATCCAGGTTGGCTGTCCTGAGCCCCATCCCAGGCCAGAGCAGAGAGGAATGTAGGGCTCAGGCCTGATGAGGACGTGAGGCTCAGAGGCGTGGAGCAGCCTGACCAGCCCACGCGGCGCCCAGGGCTCACCTGGGGAAAGCAGCACTGGTCATCCAGGATGCGCAGGATGCCGTAGGGCTTCAGCGAGATGAGGTTGATGCAGGGCTGATTGTCAGCGAAGGCCACCTCCCGCCAGTCGATCTGTTCGCGGAGGTACTCCTCCTGCAGGCAGCAGGGCTCAGCCTCCTACTCCTGCCCAGGTCCCCCGACTGTCTCCCCGGATGAATCCATCCGACAGGGCCTGGCCTGGGGCACCTCTGCTTGCACACCTCCTAGCACAGGGAGCTCACTTCCTAGCAGGGCCACATGAACCACTGCTGGGCCTTCTCCTCCCTCCACCTAGGACAGCTCTGTGGAGGGTGAAGAGGATCCCCAAGCGGGCTCTTCCCCCCAACACCTTCCCCTCAAGAACACAGGCCTCTCATGCGCTGGTGAAGCTTCCCATGCCTTTCCCTCCATTTGGTCTCCTGACAACCTCCGATTTGCCCTTAATGAGCCAGCATGTCCTGCTTGTCACTGAGGAGGCCCAGGGCCCGCGAGGATGGGGGGGAGGGGGGAGAGAGGGTCAGACCGAGCCCTGCACACCTGCTCCTCCTGGAAGATGATCTTGTTGAAAAGGTACTGAAGGTTCTCGTTCGCATAGTTGATGCACAGCTGCTCGAAACTGTTGAAGCTCAGGTCCTGTGAGCAGGTGGTGAGGGCCTCAGCCCATCTGTCCCCCCCCAGGCCCCCCCCCCCGCCCCCACCGCGGCTCAGGTGCAGTGCCCTCCCTGCCTTCTGTGGTCGCAGCTTCGGGAGCCTGCCCACAGGCCCTGCTCAGCACCCTCTGTGGCTGCCGCGGTGCACAGGCGGAAGGAAGCCTGGCAGGCTGGGCCCAGTGAGAGGCAGCTCGGCCGTGGTTAAAGGCCCAGGCTCTGCACCCTGGCCAGTGTGGCCCAGTGGATAGAGTGTCAGCCTGCCAACTAAAGGGTCCCGGGTTCGATTCTGATCAGGGGCACATGCCCGGGTTGTGGCCTTGATCCCCAGTGGGGGGCGTGCAGGAGGCAGCTGGTCAATGATTCTTCTCATCATTGGTGTTTCTCTCTCTCCCTCTCCCTTCCTCTCTGAAATCAATAAAATTATTTAAAGAAATAAAGGCCCAGGCTTTGGAACCTTCTTCCAGGTTCCAATCTTTCTAACCATGTGCCTTGGACAAGCCCCCTGTACCTCAGTTTCCCCATCTGTAAAACAAGGATAATGACAAGCCCACATCATAAGGTGGTTGTAAGGATTAAGTAATCGGTAAACAGGACGCACGTGGAACAGCCGCGGGCACACAACAGGTGCTGCGTGAGCATTCGCCAGCACGTTTCTTTCTAGGGTCTTGCCTGTCTCACCCCAACCCCCCACTGTGCACTCAGCACAGCGGCGCCCCTCCCGCCCCTGCAGGTGACTTCCAGCTCCCCAGACCCAGGCCCCCACCGCGGGCCACTCCCCCGCCTCCCTGGTTCCTGAGGAGATAGCTCAGCATGTCTCCCCTTCGAGGAAGCCCTCCCTGGCCCCTGCCCGCTAAGGTTTTCTCTGGCTCCACCAGCGCCAGGCTGACTGTTACGGCTCTGACCACATGGGTTTGTCGATTTCTGTCCCCTGTGCCCACCCAGTGCCTCCAAGGGCAGAGCCCAGGTCTGGTCCTTTCCAGGGTCCCTATGTTGCCCAGCTCACAGCCTGGCACCCACAGGCCTGTGGGTGAGGGAAGGACATGGTAGAGGACGAGGGAGATAATAGTAAGGGGGGCCCTGAACGAAGAATGGCTGTGCTCTGGGCAGAGGTGAGACATGAAGCCTTATGCCCCTCCCCTCACCCGCTCAGGAGCCCCACCTCGAAGCCGTAGATGTCCAAGATGGCGATGGACAGTGCGTCCTGCTGGGGGGACACCAGCGCGTTGACCCTGGTGATGAGCCACCCGAACAGCAGCGCATACAAGACCTTGGCGATGGCATCCCTGGAGCAGAGATGGTGATGGGGGTGGGCACCGTGGGGGCCTCGCCACCGGGGCTCAGGGAGGGAGGCTGCAGCCTCACCTGGCATCCACGGCACTCTCCACAGTCAGGGGGGTGAAGATCTTCTCTCGGATTGTCTCCTAGGGAGGAACATGGCCCCTGAGCGACAGCAGGCTGGCCACCGCCTCCAGGAAGTCCTCCGAGGATTGGGGTTCGGGTGGGGAACGGAAATGGAGTGACTGGTCTGAGGTCGACAGGAGGCCAGAGGTTGAAACATAAGGCCCTCGACCCCCCTCCTGCCTGGCTGTGCTGGTCGGGGTGGGGGCTACTGGTCCAGCGGGAGAGGCAGAGGCATAAGCAAACCTGACGCAGCGAGACCAGCCTTGGGAGGGGAAGGAGGCCCAGGGGCTGGGGGAGGCCAGAGGAGGCACCAGCTCGGCCAGGGGTCAGGAACAGCTCGCTCCCCGGAGGCGGACCGCTGTGCCGGGTCTCGGGGCAGAGGAAACAGCCAATGCAAAGGCCTGGAGACTGGGCATCGAATGCCTGTGGGTCTGAGGTTAACCCCTCCAGGCCTGGCTCAGAGGAGGGATGGACAGGGAGGGGAGGGAAGGGGAGAGAGGGCCCACGGAGGGGCACAAAGCAGCGGTGTGGAGGCCTGGGCAGACCCCCAGGCCCGAGACTCACGGTCACTTTGAAGGTGATGGCCTTCTGGAGCCCCTCAGGGGAGATCTGCAGCAGCTCGGCCACGGCCTGGATCTCCCGGGCGCTCACCACCGAGGCCACCTCCTGTGCGTCTGTCTGTGTGAAACACCCACAGGACTGTATTTTGAGCTAAACAAGTAAATTTTAAAGTTCATATAAAAAAACATAAACAAGCTAGAAGAGCCAGGAAAATTCTGAAATAGGAGTGCAGGGGGACCTAGGAGATGGTTAAACGTATTTCAAAGTTACGATAATTAAAACAGGTAACAGACATATAGCATGTAAGCAGATTAATGAAGCACAATAGGAGGTCTGGAATTCGGCATAAATACACATAGGAATTCAGTATATGACAAATATTTACTTTTCAAGTGGTGGAGTTAGTATAATTAAGTAATTGCCTGGGAAAAAAAAGAAATGGGATGCCTGCCTCATACCTTACCAAGAGAAATTCCTGATGCATCAAAGAGTTAAATGTTAAAAAAACAAACTGTGAAAGCCATAAAGGATCTTGAAAAAAGTATGGGCAAAACTTATAATTTAAGAGAGACAGGTCTCTTTAAAAATGATTTAAAAAACTCTAAAATTTATGCAAGAAAAGATTAATGGAATTCCTGAAAATAATTTTAAAAATCTGAAATGCCAAAGCAAACAAACAACAACCACGAAAAACAAAACAAAACACCAAGATACCTGTAAATAAAGTCAAAATATGTATGATAAACCGGAAGGCATATTTACAATTCACATCAAAGACAAAGGCTTATTTCCTTAACATATGTACATCATACATTCATCAATAATAAAAAGATGGTCTGGCCGCTGTGGCTCAGTGGTTGAGCATCGACCTATGAACCAGGAGGTTACTGTTTGATTCCTGGTCAGGGCACATGCCCGGGTTGCGGGCTCGATCCCCCGTAGGGGGCGTGCAGGAGGCAGCTGATCAATGATTCTCATCATTGATGTTTCTATCCCTCTCCCTTCCTCTCTCTAAAGTCAATAAAAATCTATTAAAATAATAATAAAAAGATGAACAACCTCAAAGTGTAAGGGAAAAGAGCGATTGGTATGTGTTGGTGCCGCCTGAAAGGCAGATGCAGACGCGTTCTGTCCCCCAGAGCACTCCTCGGAAAGACGCCTGTGCCCAAGGGAGCCGGGATGGCGGCCGGGACCTCCTCTCACCTCGTACTTCTCAAAGTAGACGTTGCCCAGGTGCAGGATGGAGGCCAGGATGCGGAAGATGCTGTCCTGGTCCTCCCCGCTGAAGCCCAGCACCTCCATGGCAGCGAGGAGCCGGCGGAAGTCGTCTGCGTCACTCTTCCCCGAGAGGGCAGGGCCAGGGGTCAGGGGCCCTGGGTGGCGTCCGGAGCCCTGACTGTCCCTGCTCTGTCTGCACTCAGCACTTTCGCTCCCTCGGGCCAGGCGTCTCTGAGCGGGCACCGTGCTAAGTGCTCTGCATACATTTCCTTCCTTTCATCCTCACCACGCCCCTGGCAGTGATACTGTGCTATCCCCATTTTACAGATGAGGACACTGAGGCACTAGAGGGGAAGTATAGTAGCTCCAGGCTACTTATTTCTGCTGTAGTCTCCAGAACAACGAAGAATCACGTAGGCCTCCTCTACCCTAGATTGACCCCTGTCCACGTGCCATGATGAGACACCTCACATCCAAACCTGCCCTCCCAAACCTCCATCATCTTTGCTGGACACCAGGACACCAGGACTTGGCTCTTTCAGCCCCTGGGGTGATGAGGGGGGACCAGGCCTGGGGAGCCGCGGAGGCCTGCTGGTGCTCACCTGGTTCAGGTAGTAGTAGGTCTCAGCCTCCTGCAGGCTGAAGGCCTGCCGGAGCTGGGCAGGCAGCCCAGCCAGCAGCTCGTAGAAGATGTGGTAGTTCCTCTCGTTTTTGGCCTGCAGAGTGGGTGTTTGAGTGCCGAGAGGGGAGCCGCCCACCTAGGCGACCCCCCCACACATACAGGCCAGGTGTGCCCACCAATATAAATACACACCCAGGCCTGCGGGTGGGGCCTGTCCCCTCTGTGCTGAGTGAGCTCCCAGCCTGGCTCTGCCTGGGAGCAGGGAGGGGTGGAGAAGCCCGGAGAGGGGGGGAGGCCTGGGCAGCATTCCTTAAGAGAAAGGTGCTGCTCTCGCTGTGTGCTGGCCACACACACCCATGCAGGCCTGTGTCCCAGGAGCAGACACAGGCCTCCGACGGCTCATTTGGCCAGGGTGGCTGAGCACCCGCTGGGCGCCTGGCCCTGCTCCAGGCCCTGCGACACAGCGAGGACAAGGCAGACAGAAGTCCCTGGCCTCATGGGCCCACCTGCCAGCTGGGAGACAGACACTCTGCAAATCACTGGTTAAAACACAGAACATGTCAGGTGGTGAGGAGCGCTCTGGGAGACAGCGCAGTGAAGGGATGGGAGCTCACTGCGAAAGGGGAGGAGGTGGGGGCGCCCACACAGGTGTGGGGAGAGCGCTCCGGGAGAAGGAGCAGTCAGTGCAAGGGGCCTGGCAGGGTCGGGCCTGGTGTGCTTCAGGGACAGGGAAGGGCCAATGTGGCTGCAGGGCATGGGGGGGGGGGGGCTCGGTCACATGCTCACACATACACATGCATTTGTTCATCAATTCACCCTTTACCCAGCCTGGCCACACACACACACACCCTGTCCCACGTCCCAGCACACAAGGGCGTGGAGGGCCTGGCCCACCTGAAACACAATCCTGGATTTCTCGAGCAGGTACTGGGAGGTTATGGCACCAGAGATCACGCCCCTGTGTGGGGAGCACGCGCAGCTCAAGCCCGCAGTCAGTGGCAGGGCGACGGGGCTGCTGTTGGCTCCGCGGGCTGTGCCAGGACATGGGGTGCAAGGCGGGGTCTCTGGGGGCTCCTCCACGTCCCACTCACCCTTCCAGAAAGATCTCCACAAACTTCCCGAAGCGGCTGGAATTGTCATTCCTCACAGTTTTGGCGTTACCGAAGGACTCCAAGAGGGGTGTGGCCTCCAGGATCTAGACCCCAGAAGAGGTGGGTATCATTCTGGCCGCCTAGAGCGAGGAGCATGGCTGGGGCCACCCCAGGACTTCCCAGACACAGACCTCCCCAAACACCCCGCTGGTGAGGGGCGACCAGAGGTGGGCTCCCTAGAGAACCCCGGGGTCTTCCCAGTCTCCCTCAGTGCTCCCACCTCATGCGGCCCAGGCCCTACACACAGACCCAGCTCCCCTCTCCCAGCCCCGGCCTCCCATGAGGCAGCCCTGGCCAGGACAGGTGTGAGACACGGCTTCTGACCAACCCTGCTATCGCACACGAGTGCGCACACATGCACACCCTCAGGTGCATGTCACAGAGGCTGGAGCATGCACACACACACCCACACACTCCAAATACCTTTATCTTCAGGAGCAGTCGGTAGGGAGGAGGAGGCGAAAGGAACAAGAACAGAAGAAGGTCACCCGTAGGACTGACCACCACTCCCCCCACAACACAGGGGCCTCCGGCCACAGAGGGCCTGGAAGAACCCTTTGGGCCCCTGTGGCGGCCAGAAGAGCCTCCAGGTTAGAGTACAGTCATGAACCCCAGAGACCCCCCGGGGTCTGGTCTTGGGGACTGCAGTGTAGCTCCAGATGTGGGTGTCTGCTGGGCCTACGGCCAGAAGGTTCTGGGATGTCCTCTCCCCCTCCCCTCACAGCCATGGGTCACCTGGGTTCCTGGAAGAGTCTCCTCCCTGATCCTGCCTGTGCTCCCTCCAGGGGTCGTTTGAAAACCTGCATAGGTCACCTTCTCCCTCAGGCTCAAAGCCAAGTCCTCACAGTGATCTCCAAGACCCTACACAGCCCAACCTCCGCTGGCCTCATCTCCCCTCCCTTGCTCTGCCCAGCACCTGGCCCTCCTGACTGCGCCCTCAACACTCAGGCACACTCCTGCCGCTGAGCACGGGAATTCTCCCTCTGTAGCTCTTAGCACCATTGGCAAATTCTCTCATTTCTCTGTATCTTGTCTCCCGCACTAAAATTTCAGCTTCCATGGAGAAAGTGTGAGTCCCTCCATCTGGCCACTCCCATAGTCCCGCTTAGTCTAGGAAATATTGTGCCCATTGTACAGAGCAGTAGACTGAGGCCCAGAGAGGAGCAGGAGCCAGCCTGGAGTTGCTCAGTGAGTCAGGGTCTGCCTGGGCTGCTGCCTGTGCTACCCCTTAGTCTGGGAGTTCCCTGAGGGCACTTGAGGGTGGATCGGCTGCTTTTCTGTTCCTAGTGCCCACTGCAGGGCTGGGGCACATGGCCAGCGGCCAGGGGCAAGGACAGGTAAATCAGGTGGGTAAACATCTGGCCATGTGGTGCCATCAGCCCAGCCCCCAGGTGGGGTGGTGCCTGTGGTTTGGGGTGCAGAGGATCCAGCCAGTCCCCATCTTGGGGTTTCCATGTCATATTCTCAGCCCTGTGGCCCAGGCCTCAGCCAGTGAAGCCTCAGCATGACAGGGTCCAGTCAGAACACGTGGCAAAACCTGCCCAACAAGAGAGAGGCCTGAGACTTTTTCTGGCTTGTTGGGAGGTGTGGGTTGAGGTTCATGGCACCATCTTGCTGTCCAATGGGAGACTGGTTGGGGATGACACCCATGACTGGGGGAGGGTGGAGCCAGGACAGGGGACATTGGTTAAGACCTTGGATTCTGCGTGCTTGAAGAAATAATAGCAGAAAACTTCCCTAATCTGGTGAAGGAAAAAGTCACACAAGTTCAGGAGGCACAGAGAGTCCCAAGCAAGAAGAACCCAAACAGGCCCAGGCCCAGGCCCAGACACATCATAATTAAAATGACAAAAATTGAGGAGAAAACAAGATGGCGGCATAGGTAAACACCGGAGTTTGCTGCCTCGAACAACCACTTCAAAAATACAACTAAAAGACGGAACGGACATCATCCAGAACCACAGGAAGGCTGGCTGAGTGGAAATTCTACAACTATAAGGAAAGATAAAAGCACACTGAGACTCAGAGGAGGTGCAGTGCGGAAGTAAAATACTAAGGTGCGGAGGTGCATGCGGAGCGGGCTGGAGGCTGAGGGCGCGGTTGTCGTTTTCAATCGGGAGGGAGTCTCAGGCTCTGAGCTCCAGTTCCGGGCGAGTCTCTAGGGACCCAGACTCATACGGGAGAAGCGGGACTGTCTGGCATCGGTCGGAACCCGAGGGCAGCTTTCTCTCCGAGGGGCTTGCAGCGATTACCGGGACACTGAGAAGCAGAGCCTCTGAGGGCAAGACTGAGAGCAGCCATAACTGCTAGCCCTGCCCTGTTGATCCCGTGGGATCTGCCCCGCCCAAGCCCTGCAGGGAGGCTTTTGCTGGATAGCCTCAGGCAAAGGCTAGATTAGCACCTCCCTAGAGATCCAGGAGCCAGGAAACCCAGAGGTCAGAGTGGGACCATCCAGTTTGCAGCTCCATGGAACCATAAAAGACACACTCAGGGGGCAGACTCAGTGAGCACCAAAGCCCCATTGAAGCAAGTCTTGCCCCAAGAGGTGTCTCCAGCACAGAAGTTCTCCCACTGCAGACACAGCTGATTCTCACAGCCAGTTGGCCTGGAGGTCAATTCCTCCCAGTGATAACTACAACAATCAAGGCTTAACTACAACAAGACTGTGCACAAAGACCACAAGGGGGTGCACCAAGAGTGTCTACCTCAGGTAATTGGGACACTTAGCACAGAAAGGCACTCTATCGACACAGCGAAGCATAAAAAATGCCGAGACAAAGAAACAGGACACAAATGACAGAAATGGAGGAAAGCAAACTGCTGGATATAGAGTTCAAAACCACACTTTTAGGGTCTTTAAAGAACTGTCTAGAAGCCGCCGATAAATTTAGTAAGACCCTCAAAAAGACTGGTGAGACCGCCGATAAATGTAGTGAGAGCTTCAAGAAATCTAGTGAGACCCTCGATGTTGTGATAAAGGACCAACTAGAAGTTAAGCATACACTGACTGAAATAAAGAATATTATACAGACTCCCAACAGCAGACCAGAGGATCACAAGAATCAAGTCAAAGATTTGAAATACGAAGAAGCAAAAAACACCCAACCGGAAAAGCAAAATGAAAAAAGAATCCAAAAATACCAAGATAGTGTAAGGAGCCTCTGGGACAGCTTCAAGCGTACCAACATCTGAATTATAGGGGTGCCAGAAGAAGAGAGAGAGCAAGATATTGAAAACCTATTTGAAGAAATAATGACAGAAAACTTCCCCTACCTGCTGAAAGAATAGACTTCCAAGTCCAGGAAGCGCAGAGAACCCCAAACAAAAGGAATCCAAAGAGGACCACACCAAGACACATCATAATTAAAATGCCAAGAGCAAAAGACAGAGAGAGTATCCTAAAAGCAGCAAGAGAAAGAAAGTCAGTTACCTACAAGGGAGTACCCATACGACTGTCAGCTGATTTCTCAACAGAAACTTTGCAGGCCAGAAGGGAGTGGCAAGAAATATTCAAAGTGATGAATACCAAGAACCTACAACCAAGACTACTTTATCCAGCAAAGCTATCATTCAGAAGTGAAGGTCAGATAAAGAGCTTCACAGATAAGAAAAAGCTAAAGGAGTTCATCACCACCAAACTAGTATTATATGAAATGCTGAAAGGTATCCTTTAAGAAGAGGAAGAACATGCATATAAGCATAACTAATGGACATAAGACACTGGGGGGTAAGGGAGGGTAGGGGTGTGTCCAGATAAAGAGCTTCACAGATAAGAAAAAGCTAAAGGAGTTCATCACCACCAAACTAGTATTATATGAAATGCTGAAAGGTATCCTTTAAGAAGAGGAAGAAGAAGAAGAAGAAAAAGGTAAAGATACAAATTATGAACAACAAATACACATCTATCAACAAGTGAATCTAAAAATCAAGTGAATAAATAATCTGATGATCAGTATGAACTGGTGATTGTAATAGAATCAGGGACATAGAAAGGGAATGGACTGACTATTCTTGGGTGGGGGGAAAGGGGTGTGGGGGGTGCGGGAAGAGATTGGACAATAATCGTGCACCTATGGATGAGGACAGTGGGTGGGGAGTGAGGGCGGAGGGTGGGGTGGGAACTGGGTGGACGGGAGTTATGGTGGGAAAAAAGAGGAACCAATGTAATAATCTGAACAATAAAGATTTAATTAAAAAAAATAAAATAAAATGCCAAAAATTAAAGACAAAGAGAGAATCTTAAAGGCGGCAAGAAAAAAGCAAACTGTTACCTACAAAGGAGCTCCCTTAAGGCTGTCATCTGATTTCTCATCAGAAAGTCTACAGGTCAGAAGCGAATGGCATGACGTACTCAAGGTAATGGGATGCAAGGATCTAAAACCAAGATTACTATATCCAGCAAGGCTATCACTCAAAATAGACAGTGAAATAAAGAGCTCCCCAGACAAAAAAAAAAAAAAGACTAAAGGAGTTCATCACCACTAAGACAGTATTACAAGCAATGCTAAAGGGACTGCTGTAATGAGAAGGAGAGAGAAACCTAGGCATACGGAATTAAGATGGCAATAAACTAGCTATCAGTAATAACCCTAAATGTAAATGGATTAAATGTCCCAATCAAAAAGCATAGGGTAGCTGAATGGATACAAAAACATGACCCAACTGTATGCTGTCTACAAGAGACCCACCTCAGAACAAAAGACACACACAGGATGAGAGTGAAGGGATGGAAAAAATGTTCCATGCAAATGGAAAATTAAAAAAAGCTGGAGTAGCAATCATATCCGATAAAATACTTTAAAATGAAGGCCATCACAAGAGACAACAAAGGTCACTACGTAATACTAAAGGGATCAATACAACAAGAGGATATAACCCTAGTAAACGTATATGCACCCAATATAGGAGCACTTAAATATATTACAACAAAACAAACAAACAAAAAAACTTCTAGAGGACTTTAACGGAGAGATTCACAACAATACAATCATGATAGGGGACTTTAACACCCCTCTGACTTCACTGGATAGATCTTCCAGACAAAAAATTAACAAGGAAACAGTGACTCTAAAGAACACACTGGATCAGATGGATTTAATTGACATTTATAGAATATTTCACCCCAAAGCAGCAGAATATACATTCTTCTCAAGGGCACATGGTTCATTCACAAAGATAGACCACATGTTATGACACAAAACAAGTCTCTACAAGTTCAAGAAGATTGAAATCATATCAAGCATCTTCTCAGACCACAATGGAATGAAATTAAAAATCAACTACAGTAAAAACATCCAAACACATGGAGGCTAAATAGCATGTTATTAAACAATGAATGGGTTATCAACGAGATCAAGAAAGAAATAACAAACTTTCTGGAAACAAATGAAAATGAACACACAACAACCCAAAATCTCTGGGACACAGCAAAAGCAGTCCTGAGAGGGAAGTTCATAGCACTAAAGGCATACCTCAAAAAACACAAGAAAAATTAACAATAAGCTACTTAACCCTACAACTTAAAGAATTACAAAGAGAACAACAAGAAAAGCCCAGAGTAAGTAGAAGAAAGAAAATAATAAAGATTAGAGCAGAAATAAATGACAGAGACTAAAAAAGTAATAATAGCCCTGACCGGTTTGGCTCAGTGGATAGAGCGTTGGCCTGCGGACTGAGGGGTTCCAGGTTCGATTCCGGTCAGGGGCATGTGCCTTGGTTGCGGGCACATCCCCAGTGGGAGGTGTGCAGGAGGCAGCTGATCGATGTTTCTAACTCTCTATCCCTCTCCCTTCCTCTCTGGAAAAAAATCAATAAAATATATTTACCAAAAAAAAAGTAATAATAATAAATGAAACCAAGACCAGGTTCTTTGAAAGGATAAACAAAACTGATGAACTGTTAGCCAGACTCATCAAGAAACAAAGAGAGGGGACCCAAATAAATAAAATCAGAAACGAAAGTAGAGAAGTAACCACTGACACCACAGAAATACAAAAGATTGTAAGAAAATACTATGAACAACTATATGCCAACAAGCTGGACAATATGGATGAAATGGACAAATTCCTAGAAAAATACAATCTCCCAAAACTGAATCAGGAAGAATCAGAGAACCTGACTAAGCCAATAACTGATGAAATAGAAGCAGTAATCAAAAAACTCCCAGCAAACAAAAACCCGGGTTCAGACAGCTTCACAGGGGAGTTTTACCAAACATTCAAAGAAGAGCTAACACCTATACTCCTCAAACTATTTCAGAAAATCCAAGAGGAAGGAACACTCCCAAGCTCTTTTTCTGAGGCCAGCATTATCCTAATTCCAAAACCAGGTAAAGACACTACAAAGAAAGAGAATTACAGGCCAATATCCCTGATGAACATAGATGCTAAAATCCTCAACAAATATTAGCAAATCACATCCAGCAACATATTAAAAAGATCATACACCATGACCAAGTGGGATTTATTCCAGGGATGCAAGGCTGGTACATATTCGCAAATCAATTAACGTGATAAATCACATAAACAAATTGAAAGACAAAAATTATATGATCATATCAATAGACGCAGAAAACGCATTTGACAAAATCCAACACCCATTTTTGATTTAAAAAAACTCTCAGCAAAGTGGGAATAGAGGGAGAATATCTCAACATGATAAAAGCAATGTAGCAGGATACAAAATCAACACCCAAAAATCAATGGCTTTTTTATGCACCAATAATGAATTCTCAGAAAGAGAAACTAAACAAACAATCCCATTTACCATTGCAACAACAACAATAAAATAAGATACTTAGGAAAAAATTTAACCAAGGAGATAAAAGACTTGTACTAAGAAAACTACAGGACGTTGGAAAAAGAGATAGAGGAAGATATAAACAAGTGCAAGAATATACTGTGTTCATGGATTGGTAGAATTAACATCATTAAAATTAACATCCATATTACCCAAGGCAATCTACAGATTCAATGAAATCCCTATTAAAATGCCAACATCATATTTCACGAACAAATACTCCAAAAATTTATATGGAACCAAAAAAGACCTGAATAGCTGCAGCAATCTTGTGACAAAGTTGGAGGAATCACAATACCAGATATCAAGTTATACTACAAAGCCACTGTAATCAAAACAGCCTGGTACTGGCACAAGAACAGGCATATAGATCAATGGAACAGAACAGAGACCCCAGAAATCGACCCAAGCCATTATGCTCAATTAATATTTGACAAAGGAGGCAAAAGCAGACAATGGAGTCAAGACAGTCTCTTCAATAAATGGTGTTGGGAAAATTGGGCAGATACATGCAAAAAAAAAAAAAAAAAAGGAAACTAGACCACCAACTTACACCATACACAAGAATAAACTCAAAATGTATGAAAGACTTAAATGTAAGTTGTGAAACCATAAAAGTCCTAGAAAAACCATAGGAAGCAAAATCTCAGACATCTCTCATAGCAATATGTTTATGGATACATCTCAGGGCAAAGGAAACTAAGGAGAAAATAAACAAATGGGACTACATCAAAATAAAAAGCTTCTGCCCAACAAAAGAAACCATCAACAAAACAACAAGAAAGCCCACTGCATGGGAAACATATTTGGCAATGATACATCTGATAAAGGGTTAATTTCCAAAATATATAAGGAACTCATGCAACTTAAAGAAGGAAAACAAACAATCCAATTAAAAAATGGCAAAGGACCTAAATACACACTTCTCCAAAGAGAACATACAGATGGCCAAGAGACATATGAAAAAATGCTCAAAGTCACTGATCATCAGAGAGATGCAAATTAAAACGATAATGAGATATCAACTCACACCTGTCAGAATGGCTACCATCAACAAATCAACAAACAACAAGTGCTGGCGAGGATGTGGAGAAAAGGGAACCCTCGTGCACGGCTGGTGGGAATGCAGACTGGTGCAGCCATTGTGGAGAACAGTATGGAGCTCCCTCAAAAAATTAAATATGGAACTGCCATTTGACCCAGTGGTCCCATTTCTAGGAGTATATTATAAGAAACCCGAGACACCAATCAGAAAGAATGTATGCACCCTGTGTTCATAGCAGCACAATTTACAATTGGTAAGATCTGGAAACAGCCCAAGTGCCCATCAGTAGATGAGTGGATAAAACAGCTGTGGTACATTTACACCATGGGATACTATGCAGCAGTAAAGAAGAAGGATCTCTTACCCTTTGAGACAGCATGGAGGGACCTGGAGAGTATCATGCTAAGTGAAATAAGTCAGTCAGAGAAAGACAAGTATCACATGATCTCACTCATGTGGAATCTAAGTAACAAAATAAACTGATGGACGGAGTGGATCCGGAGCCATGGAAGCATGGAACAGAGTGCGGAGTCTCAGAGGGAAGGCGGGGGGAGGGTGGGAGGTAATCAGCCAAAGTCTTTGTCGGCATATATGCATAACCCATGCACAGGGACCACAGGGTGGTGAAGGTGTGGTGTGGGGGCCGGGAGTGGGCTGGAGGGGGTCAATGGGGGAAAAGGGGGGACATATGTACTGCTTTCAACAATAAAGTTTTTTTTTTAAACAAGGCCATCAAAAATTTTGGTTGCCTCCCCCCTCAAAAAAAATCGGGAGCGAGGTCATAACAATAAAGATTAAAAAACAAAAAACAAGTAGAAATAGCTACAAAAAATAAAATAAAATGAAATAAATAATAAAGTAGTTACTTGATACTTAAAAAAAAAATAGACCCTGGATTCCGCCATGCCTAAAACGGACCCAGGCAGGCCTGTGTGCTGCCACAAGCAGGGGTGAGTAGTGGCTGTGAAGTAAGCCCACAGGTGTCCCCGCTCGCAGACTCAAGCCAGCACAGAAAGCCGCAGACCTGCCATGTCCACAGCCCAAGCATCCGCCCTGAGCCTGCAGGACAGCGCTCTGCCAGACCCCCATCCCAGTCCCTCTGCCCCTCAGTCATCTCCCTCCCGCAGGAGGGGCCCCGTGTGCACACTGGCTTGCCTACCTAGCCGGTCCTTCCAGGAGTCTAACCTTAGAGGCTTGGAAAACCCTGCCTAGAGCAGAGGGAAGGTCTGCTTAGCCACCAGGAGACTCAGGCTGATGGGAGGGGCTGCCAAGGCCAAGGTAGGCAGCAGAGGGGCCCGCCAGGAAGTTCCCTTTGGACCCGCTACCCCCCGAGGGCTGAGCAGCCTCTGCCCGATGCCCCCAAGATCACCTGCTGAGACTGCCATTGGCTGCGTCACTGTGGCCACTTAGAAACCTTCATGGGCCCAGGGCGGGGAGTCTGAGAGTCAGGTTCTGAGCTGGTGGGCCTTTGCCCAGAGCTCCAGGCTCATGGTGCACCACCACCTCCCCTGCCGTGTCTGTGTGGATGCCCAGCAGACACCTCACGGCACCATTGTCCTCTGTCTGCAGCCCTGCTCAGCCAGCTGGTGGCAGCCCTGTGCTGCCTGTGGCTCAGGCCAAATGCCTGGGGTTGCCTTTAGGCTGCGCCCTCTATTACAACCTTGTCTGTGGCCTGTACTGTCCCTTAGTCTGGGAGTCAGGAAGTCACTGCTGGCCGCTGAACTGCCCTGGGGTCTACTTCCTTGGCCTGAGCCACGGCCCTCCCTCAGCTGGACTCCACGCTGCCACGCTGTGTCCTGAGCACACCAGACCTGCTTGCCCCAGGGCCTTTGCACTTGCTTCTCTGCCTGCCTGCTCCTCCCCTCAGGGCCCTCAGGGCCCACTCCCTCCTCTCACTAGGGCCTGCCCTGATTACCACACTCCAAATTATAACCCCCGCAGTCCTCACCCTCCTCCCTGCTTCTTTCTCCACACTTATCACCCTGTGTATTATTTTTCTGTTTCCTCCACTAGAATGAAATTCCCACGAAGGTGGGAACATGAGTCAGTCTGTGTTGCTGCTGCCTGCCTCCCCAGACCTAGCTCAGGCCCCGCACACAGTAGGTCCTCGGGAAACCTCCCACATTCTCCGGTTCCGAGGACTTGCACTCTGAGCAGACCTCCAACCCTGCAGGCTTCCTCAGTGTCCCAGCACCTACTGGCCCCACCCCCACGGCCGCCCCCACACTCAGGCCTCTCCTGCCTCTTTCACTACTGACCAGGAGCCACAGCAGGAAGGTGAGGCCAGGCAGGAGGAGGAGGGTGACTCCCCTCGCCCACATGGCCTCTACCCTAGCCAGGCCCAGGAGGGCTCCCCCACAGGTGCTCCCTGGGAGGGGAGAGAGAGCCCCAAGTCCTAAGAGAACTCTCGGTGCAACCCTGGGCTCAGCCTCCCCAACCTCCAAGTGGAGCCAAGAAATCTCATCTTTTGGGGAGCACAAGGGGTGCTCAGCCGAGGACCCTAGGAAGACAGGCGGACTTACCTGCTGCATGATGCCCCGTTTTTGGTTTATGGAGGCCAGGTAGCGTAGGATCAGCTTTGTGGCCTCAGTTTTTCCAGAGCCGCTCTCGCCACTGACCAGGCAAAGGGGCAGAGTGAGCTCCAGCCGGCTCACTGCCTCTCCCGGCTCCCATGACGCCGCCATGACACAAGAGGACATGGGCGGGCTGGCCGGCCCAGAGGAGCCGAGTGACCCCCCCCCCGGCCCCACAGCAGCCCCCATATGTCCCCTCCACACATGCACAGAGGCCCTCAGCCTGGCCTGCTGCTCACCTGGTAATTATGCTGCTCACCTGATAATTATGCACTGGTTCTGTTTGGCATCAAGCATTTTGGCGAAGGCGAGATTTGCAATTGCAAAGAGATGCCTGGAGAGACGGGGGGAAGGGGGTGCTTCCAAACCTCCCAGAGGGCAGGTGGGGTGGCATCTCTGTCCAGCCAAGCCTGCTCCACCCCCCATCCTTGAGGAAATATCCCCCCCTGACCCCACCCCCGTGGTCTGAGCCACAGTAGCCTCCAGCCCAGCAGGGCTATGGCCAGGCTCGGGGAAATAGCGTGGGCTGAGCAGGTGGGCTGCCGACTGCCGTCAGCCCTGACCGCCGGCTGAGGGGCAGCCCGAGGCTCACCAAGCTCAGAGAGACCCGGGAGAGCCCAGTCCAGGATGTACTCACGGGGGGTTCTCTCCCAGGGCCCGCCCACTGTACTGGTGCACCTGCTCCAGCCCGTAGATTCCGAACATCCGGTAAGGGTTCACCGACACCAGGATGCTGCCGATGTAGGTCTGCTGTGCGGACAGCGGCCTCAGTGCCCGTGGTTCCTCGCAGCCCTGTGTCCCTCCCGGCCCCTGGGAGCCTGGAACCGTGTCCATGGGGACAAATGTCTGGCCGCCTGGCCTCAGTGTTCGAACCTTGGGCCTTCTAAAAGCTTGGTGGGTCCTCCGCTCTGGCAGTGGGATTCCCAGCTCTGCCCCAGGCTGAGGCTGGGAGGGGCCGAGCGTAAAGCCCACAGTCATGGTTCTGCAAGGAGGCTGTTAGCTGGCCTACCTCCTGGCGCTGCGCCTGCCGTAAGGCCCAACCTCCACTGCCCGGCGAGGCAGGGGCCGGGAGTGCAGGGGCTCTGAGGTATCCAGCTCCTGGGTGACCCCGATGCCTGCGCTGTGGTTCGGGGCTCCGTTCTGCCATTCTGCTCCCATCTTCCCCTCGGCAGCCCCTCCTGGGACCCGGGTCTGTGGACTCCAGGACTCTGGGAGCCTTGTCATTGGGCTTCCTGTCTCCAGGTCGCTGGCCCTGGCACCTACCACTCTAAGACTCTACGCTTAGGACCTTGGAGGTCAGGGCCCCAGGCTCTAGTCGGTTTTGCTCAAATAGCAGACACCTCAGAGGTGAAGCCAGTGGCCACTAGTCTGGGGCCCAGCAGGAGACATCTCTGCTACCCACCAGGCCCCAGGAGACAGAGTCAGCTGCCGGCCAGACCCGAGCCCAGGGCAGAGCCACCCCACAACTCACGTAAATGAGGTTCCGTTCAAATCTGGTCTTGAGGTTGGACAGCACAGTGGTCTCCTGGAGGTCTCTGGGAAAGCAGGAAGAAGGGCAGTCAGGGCCCACTGTCCCCCAGTGCAGGGCCTTGGCCAGAAGGTCTGATCTCTGACACTAACCAACCGTGAGGCCTTGGGAAGTTACTTAACCTCTGTGCCTCAGTTTCTTCATCTGTCCAATGGGTATGATTACTAGCACTGGCCCGACCTCACTCACTGGGTTGGCGACGCTCTTAGCAGATGTGAGGGCTGAGTCACCATAATTGGATAATGATATGGACCAGCACAGCCCTTACGCTTTGGGCACCTCCAATGTGCCAGCACACTCATAACCATAGCCATGCCCCCCCCCCCCGGCTTATAGATGAGAAACTGAGGCACAGAGCGGTGAAGTGATTCGCCCACAGTCCCGTAGCTGCTAAGTGGCGGGGCTGGGATTGAGCCCAGGCCCATCTGACGGCAGAGCTGTGCCGGCTTCTGGCTTTTGTGACACTGTATGGCCCTCACTTTGGAGATGAGAAAACAGGCTCTGATCACGTTCCAGGAGATGAGAGGCACCCCTGGTAAGAGGGGGTGCTCCAGCTGGGAGTGTGGCGACCCCCCGAGACCCCCTCACCAACTGCCATCCAACCACTCACTCCAGCTGCGTCATGTCCTCCACACCGTCCTCCCGGTGCTGCTCCAGGAACCGCGTGGACGGCAGGTTGCGGATGGAGTGCATCTATGAGAGAGAGTCCTCTGGTCACCGGTGGGAGGGGCCCACGCATGGCCCCCTGGCGTGGACACAACTGGGACCTGCTCCTGTTGTGAAGGAGGAGCCCTAAGTACAGCCAGCTGGGTCCTGGGGCCTCCTTGTCTTGGAATGCCAGGGGCTGTGGAGCCCGTCAGGGACACACGGCTGCCCTCTGCCCGTGTGGTCCCGTGTGCCCCCAAGTCCTGCCCGTGGGCACTGCTCCCACTGCCTTGCCGGGAGCTCTCCCAGTGCGGACACCCCTTTCAGGTTGGACCCCAAGTGACAACTTGAACATCTGTATTTTGGTGCATGGGGCCTCCAGGAAGACCAAGACTCCACGGGCACCAGTCTGCAGAGACTGGGGACCACTGCTGCCCCTGCACGTGCCCAGTGCCCAGGCTGGGCAAACACGAAGACCCACACGCACAGACCTACACGCAACGGCATTTACAGGTCACACAACTCCCATGAACACCTGGGTCTTGCAAGATGCCTACTGACATGTGTGAAGGCCTATGTTGCCTCGCTGAGGCACATGCTCTCAATGTCCACATTCTCATGTGCATGGACACCTGGGCTGTCCCCACACCTGGGGTCTTGAGACAAAAGTCCCGATGCCATCTTTGGGCTGAAGGTCTCCACTGTGCCTGACTATGTGCATATGCGGGACCCCACGGAGCCACAGCTGCTTAGACCTTGGTGCACGCGCGTGCGCACACGCACGCACACACACGCGCGCACGCACACACACACATGCACACACGCGCGCGCACACACACACATGCTTCCCTTGTTTGGCTGTGGTACACCCAGGCACACATGCATGCATGTGACCCACGTGACTGAGAGCACACATGTGCGCCTTGCCTTTTCAGCCTCTCAGGCCCGGCCCACACCCCTCCCTGAGCAGGCGAGGAAAGGGGACACCAGAAAGGGGACGCTCTGTGCTAAGTAGGCCACAGGGAGTATCACCCTGGGCCCTGGCCTCCCGCCCACCAGCCTGCCCATGTGTGCCAGTGGCCGCAAACCCTGAATAATTCAGCCACTCACGTATTCGAGGGTGAGGAGGGCCCAGGCATCCTTGCCCCTCACCCCAGGGCGCCCTGTGGCCCGCTCCCGCAACGCTGTGGCCCACACGGCTCTGGGCACCCGCCGCCGGGGCCACGGTCCCCCCAGCAGCCAGGCCGCCCCGGTTGCCATGGCTGGGCTCGCTGGCTGCCCGCTCCACAGGCACCGGTCTGCATAGGTTGAAAAGCGCCTGCTGCCCCTACGTGTCCCGCCCGCCCTAGGCGTCCCGGGGGAGGCTCCGGTGACCACTCCCCCTTCGCTGGCGGGCCACTGGGCTCACATTCCAGCATGAGCATGGCAGCCAGGCCTGGGCTTGGCACCCCTCAGAAAACTGCCTGCCCCTCACCCTACAGGGGGCCAGACTGGAGAGGCACACTGGCTCTGCCAGCCCTGATCCACTGTGTGACCCACTGTGCAATGAAGGGGCAGGAAGTTTGGTTCCTGAGCCCTCACCTCAGACAGTCTAGAATCCCGCAGCCCAGAAACTGCCCTTATGCAGGAACCCCAGAGAGCGCGAAGACTCCAATTGGAGGGAGGGTGGGGAGGAAGCGAGAGGAACAGTATGAATGCGAGTGTGGGTGGGTCAGGGTGGGCAGACAAGTCCTGCAGTTTTGTCCTCAGCCCAGATCTCTGGGGCAGCTGGGGATGGCGAGGACAAGATCCCTTCCCCACAGGGACTTGGAAGGAGGTTCCGGTGCCTCTGCCCGGTGCCTGTCTGCGCTGGGCATCCCTTGTTCAAGGCTCCAGAGGCTTGGGAAGCCCGGGGCTGTTCTCTCCAAGTTACAGATGGGTCCTGAGGCCCGAGGCAGCCGCTCACAAGGGCCCTGTTCCCCAGGACAGAACCCCCAAGCCTCCCTCTGACCTGTGCCCCCATACCTTGTTCCACCAGCTTTTGGGGCCAACCTCTTCCCAGGGGCCCCCATGGGGCAGAAAGGCAGCTTCGGGACCCAGGCGGCAGGAAGCGGGGCAGGCAGGTGCTCGTGGCCAGGGCCGGTGGGTCCCCGCTGGCAGCCAGAGAGAGGCCCAGAGCAGACTCCAGGCTCTGGGCTTGAGGCTGGGTTCTGGGTCCTTGGTCAGCTGGGTGGGGGGCTGCAGGGTGGCAGGACCAGCGCGCTGGGGAGAGCTTGGTTTTTGTACCCGAGGCAGGACTACAGCAAGACGCCCAGGACCTGCCTGGTGCCGCTCACCTGCCCTGGGCAGGGGCCCTGGGGCACCAGTGGGCTTCAAGGGGGCTGGGGCACTGGGCAGTGTTCCCCAGCGGCGCCATGGTGGCCACGTGGCCCTCATCCTATCGCGAGCGGCCAGAGGGTGGGAGAGGCTGAGCCTTAGCACCTTCTGCTCTGGGGGAGAGTTCTTGGGGGGCTCTGGGCTTGGGGGCTCAGGCTCTGCTAGTGGCCGGGGGTTCCCGGGGGAGGCCTCTTCTTTGGGCTTCTCAGGGCTGGGGCTGGCCGATTTGGTGAGCTCTCCAGGCCCCGGGTCATGGTGTCTCCCCAGGAAGACGCCAGTCACGGCAGGGTCTGCGTCCTCCAGCGGGGAGTCCCGGGACGGCCCGGGGCCCAGGTGCTGGAGAAAGGGGGTCTCGGGTATAGGCCGTGGCCTGGAGAAAGCCCTGCCGGCTGTCTTGCTCGGCCTGGTCCACGGCGAGGATTGGTGCTGGGGCGGGAGGCATGTCCCACGTTCCAGCTTGGGGGACCAGAGGGGGGCTCTGCCCAGGGGACTTTCTAGATCCTTCGGAATTCCTGCGGCTCTCCTAGAAGCTTCCCCGGC